TGCTATAGTTAGACACAAGAGTTAATAACTCCCCATCAGATATTTTGACAGTGCCAGGTGAAGGGTAACATGTGGACATTCCCACAATATAACCAGCCTCATTTCCTGCTTCCTTTCCTTCACCATAAACTGGGTTTGATGAGCATATCACTCTTCCATCCTAGTAAATTCACCAGGAAATATGAAATGATGTGTAAGTTTTTTAAATGGTATAGATATATGAATTGTTAAGTAAATCGGTTACGTTAGGATTAAGATTAGTGGAGGATCTAGAAATCCAGATGAGCACGGGTGTCAATTCGACGGTCACCAAATATAAGGAAAAAACAAATTCTCAGTGAGCCAGCACGGGGGCTCGCTGGGTGCTAGCTCCCCCCTCAGTTCTGACATGAAGTACGGACTTGTAATCCTAAATACAATGGCTTTGCATGGTGTACTGTACTTTATTGTGTAGAACCAAAGCATCCAAAAACTTTAGTTGTTAGAAAAGGGTTGCATCGTTTTATTTGGATTTGGTTTAAATGCATCCATTCTAGAATTTATTTATTTTTATTTTTTATTTTTTTCATCAAAGACCTCCCACACGGACAGAATTCATAAATAGGTACTAGGTAGCCGCCATACTTGAATCTAGATTTTTGGTGGTCGATATCACGTTGAATTACTCATCTAAAAGCATAAGCTATTAGAGAAATGATACATTTATCTAAAACAGCGTAGAAGAGATAAGATGGGCAGTTAGTCACATCTAATAGGAATCATAAACAATTTGTAGGTAAAGTCGACGGTTTTTCGAGGAGTCCTCATCTAAGGTTCCTATAAAATTGGATCGAGTTGGCCCTTGCCATCATTCTGGTGTATTATCTCCTTTGTGCAAAATGTGGCAGAAGAAAAAGAACAGAATGAACCCCATCATCTCAACCACGGATCATAAAACAGACAAAATGTCGAAAAATAAGTACCTCTCCATAAAGAGTTGAACCAGTCCCTCCTGCATGCTGGTGTGCAACACCATAGATGACATCTCCGCTGGTTGGCAAACTAACGCTCACTCTTTTAGCATGAATGCAATCATCATTAGCCACACCAATGTCACAAGACTCAACATCATACTCGACCTATAACCAAACCAATTCAACTGAGTTATGGAGCCAATGTACGAAGAAACAGAAGAAAGAAATCAATTATATTTATCAATTTGCCTTTGCATTAGAAATTACTAGAATAATTCGAAGACGTTGAAAGAATCTGGTTTGCTTTGATTGAATCTTCTAGTAGTTATAGCAATGAACTGAATCGAATAGCAAAAACCAATTCATACAGTATGTCCAATTTTATTGGGATTAAGGCTCGGTTTCTTCTTGATGTAATACTCATCATTATCATATATCATCTAATGAACAGAATGGAAAAAATTAATCCTCTGTTTTCTTAAACATGCTTATGAGAAATATGTTCAATTTACCCGGCAAGAATGTCGAGATCTGACTCCTCTGGATTCATCCGGCCTTGTCCAAACATCAGTAACATCGAGAATATAGATTTTAACGGGCACAATGGAGGCATCCCAATCAATGTACTTCACTGTATACCTCAAGTATAGTCTTCTCTTCACACCATGGAATCCTTTATTCACCATGCATTTTGTCTTGTCATAACAACATCCTAAGCCACCGTAATAATCCGATGGCAAAACACGACCATTCCCATCAACTGTGACATTATACAAATCACACCTGCACTCGGTGCACCCCGACCTATCTAGAACACCCCTAGTATCAATTGCATGCACATTGAGCATCCATTTCTCCTCATATCCATCTGGGATCTCGGCCTGATTTCCAATCTCGATTCCATAAGGGCCAGGCACGTGTGTGGCCGTTTTTCGCGTCTCGGATCCTAATCCGAAGTATTGCAATAGATCTTGATCACACACACCACTATTCCTTACAATAGCATAATCTGATTCGTTGAACCCCCTATTTCCATTGTACTTTGGAATATCAACTCCTTTTCGTTGATGGTACCTTAGAACAACCCAATGGTGGAGATAAGTTTCATGGAGGGGGACCGGATTCCCTGCCTCATCGATTACTTCTGCATTGAAACTCTTGATTGCAACATGGCCTCGAGGAAAATCAATATCGTTGTAATCTTTGTTAGAAACATATCCGGGTTTTAGCACAAATTTAGGGGATAGAAAAACCGCAGTTTTCACCCCATTTTCATTGCTTAATTGAGGATGTTTTGAACTTTTAACTT